ACTCTCTAGTGGAATTATCACAATTGACTATGTAAAGTTAAAAGATAATGTGTCGAATCCACTTACAAAAGGCCTAACTAGAGAGGGAGTTGAGAGATCATCGACGGGAATGGGACTATGGCCGAGAACAAGTCATCGTGGTGGTAACTCTACCTAGAAGACTGGAGATCCCAAGATCTAGGTTCAAGGAGATCAAACAAAGTCATAGATGACTGTCAAAACATATTTGATGGTCCATTCTCATGATGAGACAATGTTCAGTAACCAGGATAAAGGCATAAGGACCTTTTAATGGTTTCTAAGTTTGATACAGGGTATATCAAATGGTGTATCTACGGGATAACACAGTTAGAAACCATCTATGTAAGTGTGAAGTGTAAGCCGCTTCAAGGAGAATCCGGTAATGCCAGTTCTCTAAGCACTTATTAATCGAGATGTGTTCATGGCTAAAACGAACAAAATAATGAGAACCAAAAACAATTCAAGGGTTGATTGTGTGACTTATGTTGTTTAGGTATACACCAAAGCTCGACGGTTCAAAGATATCAAATCTATCGATTGATCGAGTATATCCGATATATGTTCACTACGGAAAGTTTAAAGGGAAACCTACTTATCCAGATGCGATTAACTCTTACTTATAAGACACACAAGTTTTTCATGCATATGTTTTAACTATAGCCATTCCCCATTCATGTGGGGGATTGTTGGGTTTAGCAAAGTGTGAATGAGAAATAAAAAAGAGAAAATGGAAAGAGGAAGAACCAATGAAAGTGGGGGAACCAATGAAAGTGGGGGAACTAATTTTGGAGGGAAAATGAAAAGTCATTTTTGCCATATTGGTAGAAGAATGGAAATTGTTGTCCTTATATTAGGAAACACTTCATTTAGTTCTTAAAGGGTTAAGAAGAAGGTGCCCCCTCGCGCCGTCGTCGTCGCTCGCTCGGCTTCGGCTTCGGCTTCGGATTCGGATTTGGCATGTGATTGATTGATAATATTTTTTGGACAAAATTTATTTAATCAATCTTGTTAATTCATTTCTTTTCTCTTATAAATTAATTCAGAATGTTAGTTAAATAACATAATTAATTTGGCGCAATGGAATTTATTTGAAATTCATAGGCAAATGGTAATAACGTTCCGAAAAGTTGTTATTTTTCCCAAAAGACACAACCTTCTGGAAAAAAAGGGTCTGAACAGAATTGTCTGAACAGACGCATTCCTTGCTGTAAATGGCTATAAATAGAGATGTTTTTTCTGATTTTAAACACTGAATTTTTTTTCTCTCTGCATACATTTTCTTACATACACAAAATTGTCTGCGTTCGCTGAAGTTATTGAAGTTTGAGGTACCACTACTTCTTTAACAGGTTAATCCATTTTATCTTAGGAGGAATTAATCTGCAATCTCGGGTACAGTGAGGGGATTAAATTTCTTAAGGAAACACAGTGATTTCTGTGGACTCAGATTAAAATCATTCCGTCTATTTCATCTACTTTATGTTTCTGTATTTTTGGACTAACCTAAATACAGGAGATAACAGTCTAAACATATTTTGAGCCGCGCGTGTGTTAGAAACAACCTCTCTGTCCTTTGATACAGTGGTAAGGTTTGCATACATCCTACCCTCACCCTCTCCAGACTCTACTTGTAGGATTACACGGGTTATGTTATTGTGCTTATGAAATTAAGATATATACTAATATCAGAATGCCTATCTCATACAATTGCCTTGGATTTACGACCTTGAATAGATTTCATTCGCATCTCTGGCTGTTTTCACAAGGCTGATAAGCACTGATTTCAGACTCTAATCTAAAATGAAACCGTTTATTTCATATCCTTTCTGTTTACAAGTTCGTCAACACCTTTTCTCCAACATAAATATCAGGTATTGCTCTAGGATAGGTATTCTGATATTGCCTGTTGGACTACCTGCCATGGGCTTAAGAGCCTAAGACTAATTTTCTTAACAGTAACAAATGGTTTTTACCAAGAGAAGGGAAACAACAAACAATGAGACGTGATTTGTTAAATGTGCACTAAAGTTTCTTATACTAAATTTGAACTGTACTGCTTTTACTACATTTTTATTTTTATCTAGCTAAAACTTCTTGATTCTTGTCCATCTTATGTTGTTATCCATGATAATAATGACATATAGTTGTCTTTTTTCTTCTTTTTTTCCTAGAAGATTAATCTGTATCTGGAAAGATTGGCAGTCGACTTGAAGTTGGCTTTAGGCTACAATCAGTATCATGACTCGGTATGAAATTCTTATCCTCTTTATGTTTCTTATTACGATGTCATTTGTTTATCACTCTTTTAATATCCTTTTGACATTTTTGTTTTAAGATCCATATATATGATAGCCACTAGTTGAGGATAAATTTTAGACTTGTTCGAGAACTTTTAATATTGTTACGGAAAAGAGCCATAAAAATACCTTTAACATATGGAAAATGGTTCACAAATATTCTCCTTTCACATTTTGGTCTAAAAATACCCTCAACCTTTATTTTTGGTGGAAGGATTGGTATATGAAGACTGCAATCTCGATTTGGAATAGTCAAACACCCATCTTGATTTCCAAGTTGAATTCACTAGGCATAGTTTTTACCCATATTATTGATATGTTTGTAAAGTATTGGTAATGCATAATTAAATATATATTTGAAGTCTTAATATCGATGTTTGACTATTAAGGTTTGCTCAAGATGTGTCCAAGTATTGGATGGATTTACCGAGATATCCCAAGGAATATATTAATGGTGTTCGATGTTTCTTGGACTTTGCTTACACTGTTGGAGATCCTCAAGGCGAAGAAATCCAATGTCCTTGTGCAAAGTGTTGTAATATCCGTTGGTATAGAAGAAATGTAATATATGATCATCTAATATGCTACGGATTTATTGAAGGTTATACAAGATGGATTAATTATGGGTAAAGAGATGTTGTGATGAAGGTTGATAGTGACAAAGATGATGAAGTCAACTCAAATGTCAACATTGATGGTAAATCAGTGACAGCAAGTTATCTAAAAATAGATGAAGAAATCAGCAAATTCAAACGGCAATATGCTGCAAATGTTGCTTCTTTAAGAAGTGACATACAAAAATTAAAGGAGGAAGTATGAGAATTACGTCATTTTATGAGTGTATTGGTGCAAAACAACCCTGTATTGGACGCAGGGGCGGACCTACAGTGGTTCAAGTGGGTTCATATGAACCCACTTCGTTGAAAAATAACACTGTATATATATGTATATTTAATCAGTTTTTAAAATTTTATATGTATATATTAAATTTTGAACCCACTAACACAAGTCTAAAGCTTAGCTGAGTGGTTGAGGGGATCAATTTTCCCAGCCAACCCGGGATCGAATCCCCGTGGCAGTTTTAATTTGTTTTTTTGATATATAAAATGTTCACACACAATTTTGTCCTCTATGTAAGTGTAACTTTTGTCCTTTTAGTTACTTAGAAACTATAAAAAGTAGAATAACTTTTTACTTTTACAATTAAAAGTCCAATAGTCAATAACTTTTGTCCTTTTTGTTTTTAATTTTTTTTAAAAAAAAAAACTCAATCAACAAGGCACTAATTTCTATTATTCTCAATTCTAAAAACCCTTTTGTCTTCTTCTTTGTTGAATGTTTTTCGCTCTTGATTCTAGTCTTTATATATACATATATGATTATTGTGGTTATTTTTTATTTCTTCAACTAAAAAATCCCTTATCATTCTAAAATCAACAAAAAATTACAAATAATATTAGGTATATTTCTATGTATTTGATTATGAAATTAAGGTTATAATTATTTTTTTTAATATTTTATTTTTATTTGTTAAATGTTGAATGAAGAGAAATCATTCATAATATTCTTTATTTTCTTAGTTTATATTGAAGCCTATTTTTCGTCCATCTTGTTATTTACCGTCTCATTCATAAGTCAATGTAATTTTTTTTCAAATGTATTAACATTGTTTAGTATAGTCAGATATGTATGTTGTTAGCCTCATAAAAATTACAAATAATATTAGGTATATTTTTATATCTTGAACCCACTTCGTGAAAATCCTGGGTCTGCCACTGATTGGACGTTCTGGATGTGGCTGAGTATTCTGGATCTAACCTACTTTCTCAGGCTGATGTAAATAGTGCAAGGGGCTTGAGAGGGCAAAATCTTTCGCATACCTCTGAATCAACTCATTAGCCATGAAAAGGTATTTTGCACTATTTATTATTTCGCTCATTACCATAGTTTCACTATTGGTAAGCTTTAGCTATGCAAAATTGAGATACAATTGGTGAATCATTATACTTATATCATATGTTATTATTGTACAACTGATTAACTAGTGTAGCTACAAAGTGGCTGGATAGAAGTGTCCAAAGTGTTCTCATTATCTTCGAATCAATAGAACTTAGAAGACTGCTAACTTGAAATGCATAAGAGGAAAGAGTTATGATGGATCACCTATTGTTGTTAGTGTAGCTGAGGGGGTAAACTGACATTTGAGTTTTTATGTGCACACCTCTGTTTCTGAGACTATATTGGGGATGACAGTTAAGAGCTTCTTTCATATTTGTCCTTGCATACTCAATTGGTCTTCCTATCTCTCTTGTCATTTTCTTTTCCCTCACTATCATCATTCATGACAGTTTAGAAATCTTCTTCTAGACCATAGATGCATCTTTTTAACAAAAGCTTGAATCCAAATACATATATACAAGAATTAATTTCATAAGTTTGCAGACAATATTTACTAACTGAGACAGTATTTGGAGCTTAACAAAACAAGAGACCATGATGAACGAATACACCAACCAAACATGCAAGTGATAATTCACGTATTCTTAGTTACAGATATATAGCAGAAGACACATTCAGGCACTTAAAAAAGGACTAGAGAATCAAACAAGCTACCTATGGCACACATTCAAGTACATAATTAAAATTCTTGAAACACATATTTATACGACTGTAAATAATATTTGTTCAGATTCAGAGCTGCCCTTCGATCCTTGCATTGGTAAGACCAATGCACGCATCCACAAAATCCTCCTCTATGAAGTCTGATGAAAATATTTGTAATCAATCACCATAACCTCGAGAAATACATTCCATTATAAACAACCTTGCAAATGGTTGAATCCGTAGATTCAGTTGTTCCACCCACAGTGTACTAAACAACAGGTTTATAGCATTTGCCTGTGCTGTCACTGTGTTCTCCACCTTGTAAAAGAATATCCGGGATGTTACTGGTGGTTGGTTGCTCAAATGCTGCATATTGTTTTCAAATTTTGTTTCAGGTAAGTCAGTGTTTGTCCAGTCACCTTTTAGGTAACATGAACTCCATAAGGGACCTCCTTGTCTAGGTTCAGGAGAATTTCTTGGTTTCCAAATGCATATTATTCGTTTTGGCAATAGCTCTGCTATAGTCTTGTTGAAAACATTGTCATCTTGGTGGATGAGAAACTCCCCTAGCTCAGCCTCCAAATACCTGTCAAAATCTGATGGATCCTGTTGGCCAAACTCTCTACTTATTTCCAGGATTATTATCTCTGAATGTGTTTCCAACAGGAATCTCTTGACATCGTTGATAACAACATCAACGTTGTAGCCATTAAGGATGTCATGGCATAAAATTATGAACGTATAAAATTCAAATTCTAAATCTGTTTTTTTGTGTACGTACCTGGCCAAACAATCTGGTTCGCATGAAGTCTCTCGGGGGCAAGTGTTGACATCCAATTTTTTCTGTCCTGTACACGATAATCATAACCAGGAAAGTTGCATCCATTTCTGTTCTGGAGATCACGCAAATTTTCCCCTTGTCTAGACAGCTCGTTACCCATTTTGAGAATAATTTCTCAAGCAATAAAGTACTTCCTCTTCTTCTGGATTTTCTTTCTTTCTATATACTGTATGTATGTAAAGATCAATTTTTTGCCTCTTAATATAGTAGGCTTACTACATAACAACCCCACTTCTTGTTACATATTTCATTAATTATGCATTGTTTCAATTTAACACCTCAATTTGTTATGAAGTGTTCAAATTAGATACTTTAATTTTATTGCAAAAGTTGATTTTTTTTGTTTCATTCGTCTATTAGATTGTTAAGTTAATCACATAAAGTTGTCACTTTCTTTTAAGGTGAAATGGTCTTATGGATCCATTTACTTGTATGAGTTTGTATTATGGAGACTTCTACTTACTCATTTGTCAATTGCACACTTAACCTCAATACAACTCAACATTTTAAACCCTTCTGACCCGTTGACCAAGCTTATGTAACAACTAAATTATTGAATCGAAACAAATGTATGATTTCACACGTAAAAAATGTGTAAACATATAATTTTTAGACTAAAAATTAATTATAAATAAATAAAAAGACAAGAAAAAATTTATAAATAATTTTCCTAACAAAATCAGAAAATACATAAATTTGGTCTACTGTTACCTGTAGATATATAATCAAAGTGCTAAATATTTTTTATTTGTCTTTCTTTACATTTTTATGGGGTAAGGTGACCAAGATCTGATAGTTTTGGAGAGTAAAAAGTAATTATTGAATGTATTTGTGAAACTAGATAGAGTGTGTTGTATAAATTTGTGTATAAATATTAGGGCATATTAAAGTATTTTAATTATGTTTGTTGGCATCAATGGAGAAAAGAGATTTATAATGGTTGGTCAAGGAACAAGATGGAAGAATGGAGTGAAAAAGAAAAAGTTTTTTTTTTTAAAAATAAAATAATAAGTGATGTGTCATACACAATAGATGTGGGTGATGATGTGTTATTTTTATTGGGCGCTTGAAGTTCATCCAAAGTCAAAGGTGTTTGAAATGATGAGTTTCGTTGAGTTTAAGGGTTTAGTTGACAAATGATTAAGTAGAAAGCTCTTGAATACAAACACATATAAGTATAAGGGTCTACCAGACTCTTTTGCCTTTCTTTAATTATATACAATTGCCTCAATTAGCGGCAAAACTCAATGGTAAGAATGACATTGTTATGAACATTTTCTATTTGAGATTGATGCGCAAAATTTAAGAGATAATATCTCAAATGGTCACTCAACTATGAAAAGTTCTCTTAGAAAATCACTCAACTATGCATAATTTTCTTTAAAAATCACTCATCTTTATTTTTAACCCAAAAGTCACTCAACTAAAGATTTTTTTAATTATTATTTCTCTGCTTTTCAAAAGGAAAAAATAAATTAAAGTGTAATATCTTAAGAGCAGATATTGCTGGTTTGAAGAGATTATGACTTAATAAATGGGTACCGTTTTATTTAAATAATTTTTTTATAAATAATGGGTACCTTTTTATTTGAATAATTTTTAATAACTAATGGGTATCTTTTTATTTTTTAATAATTTATTTTTAAATAAATTTTTCATTTAAATAAAATTTAGCTACAAAAATATTTAAATTGATTGACTTTTTAGGAAAAATATTAATAGTTAAGTGACTTTTTAAGAAAACTATTATTAGTTGAATGACTTTTGAGTTATAAAATAAAACTGAATAACTTTCTAAGAAAACTATGCATAATTGATTGACTTTCTAAGAGAACTATGCATAGTTAGTGACCATTTGAGATATTATCTCCAAAATTATCACTTTTTTTTTTTATGTACGGTTAAGTTACTTACCTATCTAATAGATGAATGAAAAATAACTCAAAATTCTTTACAAATTTTGAATAGAAAGTGTTTAATTGGAACATTTTATTAGGAGTTGATGTGTTTAATACAAGACTTAATTCGGCTCTATAAACAAAATATTCTCATAATTTAAAGAATTGACTATGTATTAAGCCTTTTAAATATACTAGTGACGAAGAGCCCGCGCTAATGCACGGGCCCAATATTTATTTAAAAGTTAATTTTTAATTGATGTTAAATAAATAGTTTTAAATTTTAAATTTGAATAAATTATATATATTTATATGGTAGTAAACGTTCATGTTAACTCTAAAATGAATACATGATAAATATAAGTATTAACTTTGATCATTTTAAGTAATTTTTATTAAATAATTTTAATTTTTGTATGCACGGACCAAATATTTATTCATAAATTTATTTATTTAACCAGTGTTAATTAAACAATTTGAAATAATCTCATTAAATGTAAAATAAATACTCAATAATGTTATTTATAGTAATAATTTTTAAATCATATTAAATTGAATGATTTTATATAAAATATGAAGAGACCTATTTGATATCCATCATTAAAGAATTTTTTTTATCGATTGTTAATTTTTACTCAAAATGATTACAAAATTTACATAAATATTATCGATATTTAAAATAGTAAAACTACAACTTAAGGCTTTGAACATAAAATTAAAGAACATAATTAAAGTTGGTCTCACCATTGCTGTAATTTAAATTAAAATAGTTTCTTTTCAAAATCCTTAAATGACCAAAATAACCCAACAGAACCAGTAGTACAACACAATTAAAGCTTGAAGTTAAAAGAAAAATCCTTAAATGACCAAAATAACCCTTGTTATGCCGTAATTTAACTATTTATAGAAAAATCACTTTTTTTTTGAAATGTTCTAAGTATAAAACATTTTGAGAAAATACTTAGAAAAGAGTCGCCACTTAATTTTTTGAAGAAACTAAGAAAACTTACAATTTTCAAAGATTTAAACAGAAAAAATCATTTGAAAATACCAAAGAGGGTTCGGGGTTCAATTTACACTTCGAGAAGGGTTTAAGCATTCTAAGTGTCCGCTAACATGCGGTTGACCTGCGATTTGACTAAAATATATTTGACTATTTTTTAGAAATATAATGATTTAGCATAAAAATAATAACTTACAATATATTTGATTAACTTTGAGAAAATAACTAAATAAATGACGCATTTTTATTTCTTTATTTTATTTTTTAGAGAAAAGGACCCAAAAATGAAACATTTGACTCGAAATACAAGTGATTAGAATATTAATAAAACTAGATTAATTAGAATTTATTTAATTCATTTCGAAATAACAATTTGAACCAATTTAATAAATTAAAGCATGAATATCATTTTGAATTAATTGACTAAACTTTTTGAGAAAAAAATAAATGAACACAAAACATGAAATGTATTAAAAATTAAACCAACACAAAGAATATAACTCCTCTTTTGGGGAATTTAATTAAGTTAATTAACAATTCTAAAATTAGAGTTAATGATAAAAAAAAAACAATAATTAAAATCAATTAAATAAATTAAAGGTAAAGGAGAAATGAATTTGGGCCCCCTTTTTGGGCCAGTTTTTGCTGAAAATTTGGCCTTTAAACCAATTCCGTTTTTGTATACACAGGCTGTATATTAGTGTATATCGGAATGTATATCAGCCCTTTTCTTGTATCTCCTTCTTCCGAACACCTATATTTTACCTCCGCCTTGTATTTTTGCGTTTTGGACCTGTATATCAGTGTATACTTGTGTATACAACATGTATACGACCCATTTTCGGCTCTAAATATCTGTGTTTTCTGTTTTCCAGCCCTGTGCTTCTGTTTTATGTGCCTGGCTGACTCGAATGATGAAAAAAATAAAAAATAAAAAATTGAGCCTTTATGGCTCAACTCGAGGATGCTAGGAAGAGAAGTCCACCGTGGACTCGGAAGGGATTCACATGCAACAAAAAAATGATGATAAGAGTTAGCATCCAATAATAATAGAACAACAATTATACCTAAGACAAATCACAACAACTCTTATGGCAAAATGGCTCGATTGAATTAAACAGTGCAGATCTAGGTAAGGAGCACAAATTCTAAAGATTCAAGCTATGCTAATGATAAAACAAATGGTTACTTAAACTATTGTTAGCGCTTAATGTCCACAATAATACATATACTATCCAACCCATTTGATAAACAAATGCATGCTAACAAATGACACCAACAGTTAAGGCTAAGAAAGTTAGGGCAACTTTAGTTAATACTAAATGCGTAAACATTATAAAATGTCCACAACAAAATATATACTAAATGCATATCCAAATCCCTTAATATGCTAACACTACCACTAAATGAGTAAGCATATATGCACAGATAGAAGTGAAAACCAACCAAGCATTCTGAAAACTTTCACAATATAAAAATGGGCTAAAAACAAGAACTAGCAATTTTGGGAGGGAAATTATAACTATTGGATATCAAAATATCTTACAATTACTCATGAAAAAAATTCCTACAACAAGATATAGATTCTAGGGGAATTTTCAAGCGGAAATGCTACTGCCTCTAATAACTTAAACTGAAATTAATCACGAACCAAATTAAAAAGCTGATTTTTATATGAAACTCAAGATGCCATATACATGAATCAAAAGCAATATATTTTTATTTTATTATTATTTTTTATTTTTACCATTAAGCTAATTTTGAAGAGAAAAGGATAAAGTGAACCGAGAAATATAATGCAAAGATCTATGGCGGTCACTTTCAGATTCGAATGGAAATACGGTACTAAAGGAAGCAACATGTCGAAAAGATTTAGACAAAATGTAAGTTAGGACTCTTTCCGAATACATCTAGGCACATAAGATGAATAGAACACCTTCATGAATTTGGAATAATATACATAAAACATGAATGCCAATGAATGATTATAATGCAATAATATAGTGAAGTCATCAATTATACATATAAGGAAAAAAAAAGACTAGCGACTGGAAATTCAAAACGAAAACATGTTCCTTGCTACTTCCATCCTATTTTCACATATCATAAGATCAGCCCGAACTCAAATAGAACGAATATATAGCTAATTCATCAAATGGAAAGTAAACCAACATGATATAGGAGAAGAGATGAAGTTACCTCTTTCGGAGCAGCGAGCTGGGACGAATGAGCTTAGAAGAGGACGACTTCTCACACGATTTTAGTCTAGGGCAGCCAACCAGAAATTCAGACCAACTTCGAACAAAAGACCTTACTTCGAACTTTAGACGTCTGAAATTTCCCAAGTGTAAAATTTATCGTTCAAGAAAATCTCCACCTCTAGAATCGCTGAGCATAGGGGCTTTTTATAGGGGAAATCAGGGCGTTTGGGAGGGAAAACAAATAGAAAAAAAAATTGAAATTCGAATTCGAAATCAGTGGAAGGATTTGAGAATCCCTAAAAAAAGGGACAACTATGGTGATGGATTAGGTTGCTAGGGTATGGGTTTTCGCAGATGATCACGTCTCTGGGTTCTCCGCGATTTTCGGTGATTTTAGGCGTGAAGAAGACGAAAGCAAGTATGGGGTGAGGTCGAGTTTGGTATGCGTTGCTGTTGTATCGTTTCTCGCGTGAAGAAGATGCAGGGGTCGTCTGGTTCTTTTGGTATTGCTGTATGTTATTGTATTGTAATTGAATTGGGTTTCTTTTGTGGGAATGGGTTGTTGCGCTGGTTGGGATTGTTGTTTGGAATCAAACTTGGGCCACTGAAAAATTAAAAAGAGGCCCAAATCTGGTCTTAATTTGTCAAATTGGGCTTAAAGGGGGTTGGAAGATTTGTATGAAAAGCGGCTAAATGAATTGCAAAATTAGCCAACTTAAATTTAAAATTTAGCCAATTTGAGTTAACTTGATGACTTCGGCTAAACTTAAATAAGACGAATTAATATAATTAACTAATGAGCTTCTTAATCTTAACGAAATAAAATAATTAATTTACATATAAACCAAATGACTTAGAATTATAACTATAATGTAAACTAAACTAGAATGAAAATAAAATCCTTTTGAGATCATTTTTGAATATTCATAAAATATACATAATTATGTGAAATATATATATTATCTAAAAAATTATAAAAAGTGACAAGACTATTTAAAATAACTTGCGAACTATATTATTATTATTATTTATTTATTTGAAATTTTATAAAACTAATTATTTAAAATCGTTTGAAATTGAAGAAGCTCGATGATTAATCTATAATGTGGAGGTCCAAAATTGGGTGTCAACAACCCTTAAACTCAATTTTAATCTCAGAAAGCATACATGTCGACGGTGTGGTGGCTGCTTCATCAACTAATTTTTTTGTATGTTTTTTCAAAAATATTTTAATTGCTAATTTGTTATAATTTATAAAAAAAACATTAACGTCATTTTCGAATAACTTATAGTATCGTTAACTTTCAATAATATATATTATTCCATCTATTCAAATTCATGTATCACCGATAGAGTTTCAAGAGTCAACAAAAAAAATTCTACAAAATAATATATTTTAAGTTGTTAATTATTGCAATTTATAGTACTTTTAACGTCATTTCAAATATATAACATAATATTTTAAGTTGTTAATTATCGTGGTTTATAGAATTTTTTGAACATATAACGTATAGTGTGTTTGTAGGCTCTTATTAGATAGTAAAAATATTTTAAATTGTGAATTATTGTAATTAATAGTGTATATTATGTAATTTTCAAATTTGTAATTAAATATTTTAAAATATTAACTCTAATAATTTATAATATCTTAAACGTAATCTTTGAATTTACGATAAATTAAAAAGAAAAGTAAGATGAATAAATTATAAATTGAATAATTGACATTTTCAAATATTAATTTACCATAAAATGAAAGTGAAAGAATAAGTTGTGAGGCAGAAATAAAGAGAAGGGAATGGAATTGGTGAGGTGGGGTCCATATCTATATCCATTAAAAGGGATTGAAATAAATGCATGGCAAATTGAAAATGTGGAAATAGAGAGAAAATGGGCCCACATGCATTGAAAATCAAGGACTTTTCGGCTGGTGATAAATAGGCACACAGCTCAAGCAGACATGTTGACCTTCAACTTGTGTGCTTTATACCTTTCTTTTTTCTTCTTTTAACTAGAGGATTAATCTGTATCTGGAAAGACTGGTAGTCGACTTGAAGTTTGCGCTGCAATTAGTATCATGACTCGGTAAGAATTTTTTATCCTCTTTATGTTTCTTGTTACGATGTCATTTGTTCTCCACTTTTTTAATTTCCTTTTGGAATTTTTCTTTTAAGATCCAAATATATATGTGATAGTCACTAGTTGAGGATACGTTTTAGACTTGTTCGAAAACTTTTACTATTATTACGGAAAAGGGCCAAAAATACCCCAACATATGCAAAAATGGTCATAAATATACTCCTTTCACATTTTGGTCATAACATACCCTCAACCCTTGTCTTTTTGGCTCAGTTATATCCTTCCGTCTACCTTTTGGTCTAAAAATACCCTCAACCTTTGTCTTAGGCATCCTTAAACCCAAAACAAAGGTTGAAGGTAGTTTTAAACCAAAAGGTGGAAAGAGGGGTATGTGAAGACTGCTATCTAAATTTAGACTAATCAAACGTCCATCTTGATCTCCAGGTTGAATTTACTAGGCATAGGTTTTACCCATATTAGTGATATGTTTGTAAAGTATTGGTAACGCATAATTGTATATATTTGAAGTCTTAATATCGATGTTTGATTGTTTAGGTTTGCTCAAGATGTGTCCAAGTATTGGATGGATTTACCGAGGTATGGCAAAGAGTATATTAATGGTGTTCAATGTTTCTTGGACTTTGCTTACACTGTTGGAGATCCTCAAGGCGAAGAAATCCAATGTCCTTGTGCAAAGTGTTGTAATATCCGTTGGTATAGAAGGAATGTAATATATGATCATCTAATATGCTACGGATTTGTTAAAGGTTATACAAGATGGATTAATCACGGGGAATGGGCTATTGTGATGAAGGTTGATAGTGACAAAGATGATGAAGTTAACTCAAATGTCAGCATTGATGGTAAATCAGTGACAGCAAGTTATCTAAAAATAGATGAAGAAATCAGCAAATTCAAACAGCAATATGCTGACGATGTTGCTTCTATAAGAAGTGACATACAAAGATTAAAGGAAGAAGTACGAGAATTACGTCATTTTATGAGTGTATTGGTGCAAAACAACCCTGTATTGGACGTTCAGGACGTGGCTGAGTATTCTGGATCTAACCTACTTTCTCGGGCTGATGCAAATAGTGCAGGGGACATGAGAGGCCAAAATCTTTCATGTTCCTCTGAATCAACTCATTAGCCATGAAGAGGTATTTTGCACTATTTAATATTTTGCTCATTACCATAAGTTTCACCATTGGTAAGCTTTAGCTATGCAAAGCTGGGATACAATACTTATATGTTATTGTTGTACAACAGATTAACTAGTGTAGCTACAAAGCGGCTGGATAGAAGTGTCTGAAGTGTTCTCAATACCTTTGAATTGATAGAATTTGGAAGACTAGTCTGGGTGCACGTCATTGGTGACAGAATAATTCCATGAAGGACCAAGAAACTCATGATGTGAGTTTTCAGAATGCTAGGACTGCTAACTTGAAATGCATAAGAGGAAAGAGTTATGATGGGTCACCTATCGTTGTTAGCATAGCTGAGGGTAAACTGACTTTTGTGTTCTTATGTGCACACCTCTGTTTTTGAGACAATAGAGCAAGTAGGACAAATCCCAATAACTTCTTGCGGTGGGAGATGGATAACTTCCAGATATGTTGCTTATGTATGCACCTCTGTTTAATTATATATTCTGTTTCAATGCAAGATTGATTTTACTCTTTTACTTGATTATGCATCCATATGATAGTGAGAAGTTATCAAGAGTTTTCTGGTCTAAAACTCTTTTAATATATCAAATTTGACTTGACATGAATTTTGTAACGCAAATTGTAAAATCTTGGATTCAATCCAATTGTCTGCTTTTAGCATGAATACTTTCTTTGATATCCAATAATTTCAAGGAGTTTTGAGGACCAAGTTTTGTAGAGATATGAGATCAGAAAATGGTTCTTCTAGGGCCTAGGCATAGTTCATATTGATACAACCTTATAAATTATATGAAAAAAGCGAATTTTGTGCCTTTTTCTTCTTTTCCTATTTTCATACTATTGTGTTCTACTATGTCCATACAGTTCCTTTAATATTTGCTGCATAAAGAAGTTCCTGTTTCATGAAAACAATCAGGGATAGATTGTGATCAAGAAATTACTTTTTGATAAATTGACAGTACCATGAGCTTAACAAAGCACAAGATATGATGAACGAATACACAAACCAAACATCCAACTGATAATTCACGTATTCTTAGTTACAGATATATAGCAGCAGACGCATTCAGGCACCTAAATAAGGACTAAAGAATCAAACTAGCTACCTATAGCACACAATTACCTCTTAAGCAGCAAGAAGGATGCATTGCTTTCTGATCAAACTATGTATTCCTGGAAGACATACTTATACTGCTATATTAACCTGTAAACATATGTTCAGATTCAGAGCTTCCCTTCGATCCTTGCATTTGTTAGACCAATGCACGCATCCACAAAATCTTCATCTATGAAGTCTGATGAAAATATTTGTATTCGATCACCATAACCTCGAGAAATACATTCCATTATAAACAACCTTGCATATGGATGAATCCGTTCAGTCACTGGTTTCACCCACAGTACTGGATTATCTGCCTGTGGTGTCACCGTGTTCTCCACCCTGTAAAAGAATTTCCGGGATGTTATTGGTGGTTGCTCACTCAAATACTTCATGTTGCTTTCGAATTTCTTTTCAGGTAAGTCAGTGTCTATCCAGTTATCTTTTAGGTAACACGAACTCCATAAAGGACTTCCTTGTCTAGGTTGAGGTGATTTTCCTGGTTTCCAAATGCATATTATTCGTTTTGGCAATAGCTCTGCAATAGTCTTGTTGAAAACATTGTCATCTTGGTGGATGAGAAACTCCCCTAGCTCAGCCTCCAAATACTTGTCGAAATCAGGTGGATCATCATGGCCAAACTCTGTACGGATTTCCAGGATTATTATCTCTGAATGTGTTTCTGACAGGAACTTTTTGACATCGTTGATAACAACATCAACATGGTAGCAAAGAAGGATGCCATGACATACACGTCGATCTTCTTGAACACGAATGTCAAGAACACGAACACCAGTTACCAGTTGTTGGTAAATCGACAAAGATTGGCATTGTGCGAAAGGGCGAGAAATGAATGGGATTCCAATCTCATCAGTTGCAGAATCATGTGTACCTACAAAGGTAAGACATGAAACATTGATATGATATATCAAATTATGAATTATAAATTTATAAAATTTAAATTCTGAATCTGCTTTTCGCATACCTGGCCAAACGATCTGGTTCACATGAAGTTTCTCGGGGGCAAGTGTTGACATCCAATTTTTTCTGTCCTGTACATGATAATCATAACCTGGAAAGTTGCATCCATTTTTCTCCTTGAGATCACACAAGCTTTTCTTTTGAGTATCGATAGCTTTTCGTCTTTCGACTTGTTTAGACACCTCGGCACCCATTCTGAGAATAATTTCTCAAGAAGAAGAAGAAGAAGCAATAAAGCACTTCCTCTTCTTCTGGATTTTCTTTCTTTCCTCTCTGTTTCTATACACTGAAAAGATGAGTTTTTCTGCCTCTTAATATATGCAATTATGCATTCTAGTAAGGCTTAATACATAAGCACCCCACTTATGGTTAGATATTTCATTTGAACCGCAGAATTATGTGTTCTTTCAATTAAACACTTCAATTTCTAATAAAGGGTTCAAATTAGATGTTTTTAGTGAAAAAATTGATTATTATTTTTTGATGTATTTCATTCGTCTATTAGATAGTTAAGTTAATCACATAAAATATGTCATTTTCTTTCGCCTCAATAAGCCATAAAACCCAAAGGCAAACATGACATCATTTTGAACATTTTCTACTTAAGATTGATGTGCATAAGTGGATAGGATAACTATTTAATAGACGAATGAAAACAACTTAATTTTTTTTACAAAATTTGAATTGAAATACTTTCTTAAAAGTTGAGGTGTTAATTGGAACAAGATTTAATTTGAATGTGTAAATGTAATATTTTGATAAATTTAAAGGGTTATTATGTATTAAGCTTTTTAAATATATACATTGTGATGTATGAACTTTCTTCAATTATTCACTTCCTTTTAGATATTTCTTGTTCCAACATAATTATGTCTAACATATATAATATCCAAAATATTTTGTGGTTGTAGCGTTGTGGGGGGATAAAAGTAGACTCTCTCTTTTGTCATTTGTTTAGGTGATAACGGTGGGGCCCTTTGCTTGTATTATTGGTAGAGAGTCATAATCGCTATTTAATTTATCCTGTGGCGCTATAGTCATCCTTATTTTATTTGGTTGACTATTCTTCAAGAATAATATAAAGACAGTTGAGTTGAGGTAGAATAAGTACACATATACTAGGGTGTACATGATCAGGTTGGTTCGAGTTTTTCAAATATCAAATCAAATTATTTGTGTAAAATTTTTAAATTTATAAACCAAACCAAACTAATAAAATTCGGATTTTTTCGGGTTTTCAACCTCGGGTTGGTTCGAGTTTTTCAAATATCAAATCAAAATTATTTGTGTAAAAATTTTTTAAATTTATAAAACCCAAACCAAACTAATAAAAATTCGGATTTTTTTCTGGTTTTTTCAACCTCGGGTTGGTTCGGGTTTTTTCAAAATAGGTTTGTGTCGAATTTTTTAAATTTATAAATCAAACCAAACTAATAAACCTCAATTTTTTTTCAGATTTTTGGATTTTTTTGCATACAAACATATAACATGTGCTTCAAATATTTTTTTAATCCAACCAAAATACAATTATCTAAGGTGTTTTTTAAGAAAATAACGCAAAATATGAGATGAGTGATGACACTAAAATATTCAATAAAAAAATAATAATGAAATCTTCATATAAAATAAATATTGCAAAGTCATAATGAAAATGATCATAATTTAAAAGTACTAAATCATGCTAAAATAAGTTTAATAAGTATTAGTTACATTACTATATTTAAGGAAAATTAAAATTAGATTATGTATTTTAATAGTATCAACCAATGTAAAACTAAAAAATCAATATTTAATATTATTGTCATTCTTGGTTTGGTCTCGGGTTGTTTTTTTTTAGTTAAAACCAAATCAACCCAAATATAATCGGGTTTTTTTTTTCCAATACCAAACCACTAGTCAGGTTTTTTGTTTCGATTTGACTCAGTTTACAGTTTGAATCGATTTTGTACACCCCTAAATTACATACTAATGAATTTGATTATTGAATAAGAAAAAAAGGGAAATTTTCAAAAATATATAGTTCAATATGAAACATTATGTAAAAGCACATAAAAAGTGTTAATACATAAATATAAACCAAATTTGAGGTGCCATGGTTATAAGATTACTTCGATCTTTCTTTAATCAAAGATCTTAATTTTGAGACGCAATTCAAATTTAGTCGTAGTGCAGTGTGGGCAGAGGTGAAACAAAAATAATACTAGCCGCCTGCAGCTTGCGTCGTGCAGATTGATGTAATGCATATTTTTTAAAATACTCACAAATCACAATACAACACTCCTAAAAGTCAACTAACTTAATTACATGAGTTACAACCTTCTCCATATTTTATTTACACTCTGAATACATTAATCTTTTCTTTCTTTAGACTTTTTACAACAACCAACATCTACTTACCATATATATATACTATATATCCTTGTATATGCATTGTATTCATTATAGACAAAGGAAAAAGAGATGGAAAAAAGAAGCCTAGTTATATTGCTTTGTTTTATTCTTATGTCAATGGCTCAAGGTGTTGTATTAGGACCCAAAGCTGTTGAAAAATGGTTCAAGAAGCTTCCTTATGCAAAGCAAAAGGTAACTAAATTTCATTTCTATTTTCATGACATAACTAGTGGGAAAAATCCAACGGCAGTTCCAATAATCAAGTCCAAATCCCCAACTTTCTTTGGGTATGTTGCAATGATTGATGACCCACTGACAGTTGGACCCGAGGTCAACTCGACTCTAGTGGGTCGAGCCCAAGGGATTTATGGTGGAGCCGGTCAAAAGGAGGCTGCCCTTCTTATGACCCTCAACTTTGTGTTCACAACTGGCAAGTATAATGGTAGCACATTGAGTGTACTTGGTAGGAACCCAGCATTTCATAAGTACCGTGAGATGCCTATTGTTGGTGGTTCTGGAGTTTTTCGATTGGCTCAGGGAATCGCCACCGCGAAAACCTATTGGATGAATGCTACCGATGCTATTGTTGAGTACAATGTTATAGTCCTGCATTATGACATTTGATGTGCTTTGCTTTTTTAATATTCATTTGTAATTTCATGTTCATTATATTTGAATAAGTCAGCAAGATAAAACAATTGCTAAGCGAATTAGGGTCATCATAAATGGAAACTCTAATTTTAGATATACTTTTCAAAACTATATAAAAATACTATAAGCCATGATATTAACAATTTTATTGAATGAAAGGACTTTTATACGACTAATCTTCAAAATTAAGAAGTGGATGAACATATCCGTGTAACTGAACTAGGTATCTAAGTGAAACTATTCATATCATTTGCTTCTTTTTCCCCCTCATCTCATTTATAATGGAAGTGTGAGTTTCATACCTAAACTATCACTTAGCTAGCGTTTGGCCATAGATTTCTAAATATTTTTGGCAAATATTATTTGAGTGAAATTTCACCATTTGTTTGACCATAATATTTGGGACATATATTTCACTTTATTAATAAATATGATTTATACCCATAAGTTTTAAAAACTATCAAAATTAACCATAAGTTTGTATTACATAGCAAGATAGAAAAGTTGACGTAACAAGATTCATGACTTCCGCAACAAGTCAATTGAATCTTAGTTGCAGCAAATAACAAGTAGTGTCCATGACATTGGAGCAATGTGGTAGTTTGAAGTGAGTGCAACAAGAATCATTCCATACATTGTGAAGTAGACGAAGCACATGACTTTATTGTTAGCAATCTGTGTTAAAAATCAATATTACTGATTCAACAAACTTTGCAGAAACACGAAGTTACGAAAGTTTATCCGAACCAGTGAACAAACAGATGAACAAAAATTAATTCAAAAGAAAGCTAAAATTTGTAAAACATACCAGAATCTGGGAAAAACATAATGAAAAAGATCAAGCCCACTGAATGCACATTGTCCCCTTAAGGAAATTATTCCCCCTCTAGTATCCGAGGTTTGATTTGGAATATGTCCTCCCAGAATAGAATAATCTCAATCACCAGTGTATTGATACCCAAAACGCTGGTGTCAGCGAACCACTCAAGAACAGTAAAGTACACAAAGAAATTTGTGCAGAAGAAGAAGAAGAAATCAGAAATTTTCATAAGTAAAAAATCTGAAGAATAACATGTCTTTATAGGCAAGAGGAACTGGTTCCGAAAGGTTGCAACCTTTCAGAATCCACACGACCATTTCAGAAAGTTTGCAACCTTTCAAATGGTCATGACTGTTCCTGAAAGTTGCAACCTTTCAGAACAGTCATCTCCAATGGCGGGAAATTTAAATAAAATGGGAAAGTAATTTAAATAAAATGGGTCACGCGGATCCGAGTCGGGTCGGAACATTTCGGTTAATTAACTAATTAATTGAAACATTTTGGCCATTTAATTTTATTTATTTAATTAAATAATTAAAACAAACTTTGTCCAAAAATAATCTCTCGATTGATCATTTTTCAAAGCCAAAGCCAAAGCCGAGCGAGCGACGACGGCGCGAGGGGGTCCCTCTTTCCAACCCTTTTAACAATTAATAGAAGTGTTTCTCTATTTAAACTCTTCTATTTTTCTTTCCACCACCGATGAGGGATTTACAAGCAAGAATCAATTACATCTGGATAAGTAGGTTTCCTGTTGAACTTTCCGTAGTGAACATATGTCGGATATACTTGGTCAATCGGTAGATGTGATATCTTCGAACCGTCGAGCTTTGGTGTATACCTAGACAACCATATGTCACACAATTAACCCTTTATCGTTTATGGTTCTTACGGTTATGTTCGTTTCAGCCATGAACACCTTCTGGTTTCATGAGTTTATAGAGAATAGACTTTTGACAAAAAACTCTCTTTGAAACGGCTTACACTTCACACTCACATAGGTGATTTCTAACCGTGTTATCTCGTAGATACGCTATTTGGTCAAATCTACCAAACTTAGCAAATCATTAAAAACTTTAAGCTTTATTAACTCATTAACAAGCCTTAAAGTCTTAACCTTGTTCCTGGACATTGTCTTCATCATGAGAATGGATTGAGTTGATTGACAATGTCGAACCGTCAGTCTAACTTTGTTTTTCTCCTTGAATCTAGCTCTTGGGATCTCCGGTCTGCTAGATAGAGTTACCGCCATGCTGACTTGTCCTAAGCCGTAAACCCATTCCTTTAAATGATCTTTCAATTGCCTCTCTCACTAGGCCTTTCGTTAGTGGATCTAACACATTATCGTTTGACTTCACATAGTCAATTGTGATAATTCCACTAGAGAGCAGTTGTCTTACGGTAACATGTCTCCGTCGTATATGACGAGACTTCCCGTTGGACATAACGCTCCCTACCCTACTTATTGCTGCTTGACTATCACAATGTATGCAAATAGGTCCCACAGGTTGGGGCCAGAATGGAATATCCTCTAAGAAATTTCGGAGCCATTTAGCTTCTTCACCGGCCTTATCTAAGGCAATGAATTCAAATTCCATTGTGGAGCGAGCGATACATGTCTGTTTGGACGATTTCCAAGAGACTGCTCCTCCACCAAATGTAAACACATAACCACTTGTGGATTTTACTTCATTTGACCCGGTGATCTAGTTTGCATCACTATATCCTTTAATCACTGCAAGATATTTATTATAATGCAAAGCATAATGTTGTGTATGTTTCAGATACCCCAACACACGTTTCATTGCCATCCAGTGAGTTTGATTCGAATTACTGGTGAACCGACTCAGTTAGCTAATAGCACATGTTATATCTGGTCGCGTACAATTCATAATATACATCAAACTTCCCAACACTCTGGCATATTCCAATTGAGAGTCACTTTCACCTACTCTCTTTTGAAATGTAAAGCTTAAATCAATTGGAGTTTTGATAACATTGAAATTCAAGTACTTGAACTTATCCAATACTCTTTCAATATAATGAGATTGAGATAATTCTAGTCCTGAGGAGTTTTGAGAATCCTGATCCCTAAGATCAAATCAGCAACTTCTAAGTCCTTCATATCGAACATGCTGGACAACATGCGCTTAGTAGTATTTATATCGTCAATATATTTAGTCATTATTAACATGTCATCAACATACAGACAAACAATGACTTCATGATTCAGAACGTTTTAATGTAAACACATTTATCACATTCGTTAATCTTGAATCCATTTGCCAACATTATTTGGTCAAATTTAGCATGCCATTGTTTGGGTGCCTGCTTGAGCCCATAAAACGACTTCACAAGTCTGCACATTTTCTCTTCTTTACCAGGAACCACAAACCCTTCAGGTTGTTCCATGTAAATTTCTTCCTCCAACTCTCCATTTAAGAAGGCTGTCTTTACATCAATTTGGTGGATTTTAAGATCATGCACTACCGCTAGTGCTATTTATAACATCCTAATTGATGTTATCCTTGTAATTGGAGAGTATGTATCAAAATAGTCCAGACCTTCCTTTTGTCTGTATCCTTTAACTACAAGTCTAGCCTTATATTTGTCAATATTCCCATCGACTTTCATTTTCCTTTTAAAGATCCACTTTGATCCTAAAGATTTATTTCCTGGAGGAAGATCATCCAATTCCCAAGTATGATTACTTAAAATTGATTCGATCTCACTGTTGATTGCTTATTTCCAATAGATTGACTCAGATGAAAACATAGCTTCTTTAAATGTTGGAGGCTCATTTTCAAGCAAGAATTCCACAAAATATGATCCAAAAGAAGTGGGTTTCCGTTGGCGATTACTACGCCTAGGATCCTCACTAAGTAGTGTATTTTTCGTTGATTCTTCCCGTGGTTGTTTAGGTCTTTCACTTGTTGACTCACATTCAGTTCTATACGGATAAATGTGTTCAAAGAACTCAGCGTTATCTGACTCAATTATCGTATTAACATGAATCTCAGGATTATCAGATTTGTGAACCAAAAATCGGTAGGCCTTACTGTTCACAACATATCCAATAAATACACAATCCATGATTTTGGGTCCAATTTTCACCCTCTTAGATAAAGTAACATCTACCTTGGCTAGACACCCCCACACTTTGAAATATTTCAAGTTGGGTTTCCTTCATTTCTACAACTCATATGGAATTGATTGCGTTTTGCACGGGGTACCCTATTGAGTATCTTTTTAGCCGTAAGGATGGCTTCCCCCCAAAGGTTTCACGGTGAACCAGAGCTGATTATCAAGGCATTCATTATTTCCTTTAATGTTCTGTTCTTCTGTTCCGCCAAACCATTTGACTGTGTATAAGGTGCATTTGTTTGATGAATAATACCATATTCCAAACATATCTCTGCAAAAGGAGATTCGTATTCTCCACCCCTATCACTCCGAATCATTTTTATGATCTTTAGATTCAATTGATTCTCTACTTCATTTTTGATTGCTTAAATGCATCAATTGCTTCATCTTTACTGTTTAAGCAAATATACATAACAGAATCGAGTGCAATCGTCAATAAAAGTTATAAAATATTTTTTCCACCACGAGATGGTGTCGACTTCATATCGCATATATCTGTGTGAATTAAGTCTAAAGGTTTTGAATTTCTTTCAACAGACTTATAAGGATGTTTAGCAAACTTACTTTCCACACAAATTTCGCATTTCGATTTATCGCATTTGAAATCAGGCAATACTTCTAAAGTAACCAATTTTCGCAAGGCTTTGTAATTTACATGTCCCAAACGGGCATGCCATAAATCATTTGACTCCAATAAGTAAACAGAAGCAGAATTCTTATTAATACTGTCAACAACCATTACATTCAGTTTGAAGAGGCCCTCAGTGAGGTAGCCCTTTCTTAAGAACATCTCATTCTTACTTATTACAACTTTGTCACTAACTACGACGCTTAAACCCGTTCTTAACGAGCAGTGCAACAGAAACTAAATTCTTTCTAATAGTAGGAACATGCAGAATGTTGTTCAAAGTCAACACCTTGCCGGATGCCATTTTCAACATTACTTTCCCAGTTCCTACAATCCTCGTTGTTGTTGTGTTCCCCATGAACAAATCTTCCTCGAACTTAGCAGAAGTGTACGTTGCAAAAGCTTTTTTCGCAGAACAAATATGTTGAGTGGCACCTGAGTCGAGAAACCACTCCTTGGGATTTTCC